AAAGACACACCAGATGCAGTGCGTTCTGGCCCAAACGCACTGCCTCGCATTTCGGCCGGCTTACTTTTTTTGTGGGACGGGGGGACGTGGCGGTCCATTGAAGTGAATGGCACCCTAGCCACACCCTCCGTCCGCAATGCGATCGGCCACACGGGATGGCAAGGCACATTATGCCTACAGTCCGGTCCGGGGGCGATCAAAATGCTGTAAGCAATATTTTGATCGGGCCAGAACGCAGTGCATCTGGTGTGAACAAGGCCTAAAGTAGTCACTGCATCAAGCTTTCTCCTGTGATGGACTACAATCACAAAACAAATTAGTAAACTAAACATGAGATTCTAGTCCATCACAGGAGCGAACTTGGAGCGGTGACTACTTTACAACACACACCGGGACCATGGGGAACAAAAGTAGCCACCCTCCAGAAGGAAGGACAGTGTGAGCACCAGTTCAGAGATGATTGGAGGATCTACAGCCGAGTGATACACAAATAAGATACATTTTTGTTAATAGAAGTTAAACATTAAAAATACATTAAAGCACCTTGAGTTTAGTGTCACTTTAAGTAGTGTCTACATTTAAAATATAAATTAGGGCCAGTTCACACCTTTCAGTTGCGGCGCAATGCTGTTACAGCAGCACACCATGCACACGTTGCAGTGCCATTCATTTTCAATGACACTCCAATGCACTTAGGCAACTACCATGCATGGCGATGTGCTCACAAGGGAAAAAACAGGCCGTGTGTGTGTGAACCGGGCTCTTAGAATTTTCTTGTGATGTGCAGAAGCTGCTTACAGACACAAGATGACAGTCGCATAACAGCAGGATCAGGTGACAATATTAGGTTAGAAAACTATACGTCTTGGAATATAGTTCTACTAAAAATGTTTTATTGATCGTTTAATGGGACAAAACAAAAGACGATTAGCATACAATTCCTGAATTCCTGATTCCCGCTTTGTTCCTCAAGTGTGGTGTAGTCTGCAGAGGGGTCTCTGGAAAGTTTGATTAGGATCAGCAGAGCTCTTGGCACTTTTGGCCGTACCTCGGCACATCCCATTCTCCTGGCACTGCCCTTATCAGAAGTTTGATAGAAATACCTTTCCCACACTTGCTTTTGATTGCTGGATTACGTTAGTTTCGGGGGAAAAGGGAGGGAGGTCTAGAAACAACAGAGAACCACTTATCCTCTATTGCCCGATCACATGCTGGGGTGGGTCCTAGACCAAGCTTTGTTCCTCAAGTGTGGTGTAGTCTGCAGAGGGGTCTCTGGAAAGTTTGCCCTGCTAGTGATGTCTGGACCATGAAGCATGTTAAACAGACTTGGCTGAACTGTTTTCCTGCGGTATGACTATCTTGCTTTTTTTTATTGGTTAATAAGTAATCCTTGAGCTAGCTGTGAACAATGTCTTGGCTCAGTGCTGGAATTCCAGTGTTATTATACCATGATGGCCAGTGATAATGTTCATGATCCTCCATTCAAGTCTGATTTTTTCTTTTTGTTTTTTTTTTTGTACAGGAACACTCACTCAGGACATCAAAAAGGAAGATTTTATTTACAAGTTGAGGCTAGTAGGGCCACTGTAATACTTAAAGAAGAAATGCAGGATCTTATAAGACTTAGCCTTGCACTACAAGTATAAAGTGCACTACAAGTATTAAGTGCTCGTTTTGGGGCTTACAGGAGAGCTATGAGCGAAGTGAAAATCACTTATCCTCAGAGTTTGAGCCGATTTGTGACAATGAAACTGTTACACGTCGGCTCAATAGACTGCAAAGTGAGCAAACAATTACCGTCGCTCGCTCACTTCTCGATCATCTCCCTGCAGAGAGCAGTGACGGTCAGTCACAGCTCCCTGTAGGGATTCCCCCACCTCTCCTCTCCATTTCTCCAGCGTTGGCTGGATGGATCTCGACAGCATTGTCGGGATCCGTCCTGGCTGCTCCGGTCTCAGTATACCACAAGCTGTAGCTCGCGGTATACTGAGCTTTGGGTCACGTGAGGACGCTAGTATATGTCTTCCTGTGACCCTTAAGAGAACTATGGGGAAAAACACTTACCCCATAGTTCTCTAGTAAAGAAGATATACTTACATCCTCAGTCGTGCGGCAGTCCATTTTCCCCAACTCCCCCTCTACTTCAGCTATGGCCTGTTCCTCTGCGTCATCGCATCTAATGCAAGTCAATGGACCTGCATTAGCCATGATGACATCAGGGGTGCTTAGACCCCCGGATCCCAGGGGGGAAGAGGCTACAGGGGGCCAAACTAGTAGCCCAGCAGGACGAAGGATTGTGTGACTATATCTTCTTATTTGATCCCCATAGACAAGGCACGCTCTTAACCCTTGCAGTGTGGGGGTAAGTTGTTTTATTTCTGGAGTTCCTCATTAAGCTGACCATACTCTTGAAAAAATCTTCAATACCATCAGAGACTTGATGTATGTCATTTAACATTTTAATTTAGTTTTAACATTTGATTTTGGAATGAATGGAGCTCCTTGAACAAAATCCAAAAAAAAACTCATGTTAAAAAAAACCCCACATTTTTCTCCCTCCCTTTTGTGCCTACAGGACAGGAAGCAAAGAGGAGTATTTAGAATAAAGTTTTCTCTTTAAATATACGTAAAAAAATGGCTGATTCTTTCAAATTCTAAAATCTTATCATATTTTGTCTATTCCGAGCTGGAGATACTCGACACATTTTTAGATTTGGAATTGTTTAATTGAAGGAAGTCATTATTTTGCATACATTTCTCAGTTTAGGATTGCTGTTGCTTAAGACGTCTGGCGGGTAGTTTATCAGATGTTTGTGATTTTTTTTTTTTTTTTTTCGTACAATTTTTTTTCCTCCATGAAACATAAACGTATTCTCGGAGACTACATCCTGCTGCAGGAAAGCCCTGTATTGTACTGCAGATAGAGATGATTTATTGTAGATACACGTCCATACAGTAGTGTCAGCTTCCATTACAACATCCAGCGGATCCCACTTGTGTCTGTTTAAACACCCTTCTTACAAGTGATAATACCTTCCTGTTCTTCCCCAGAGGGTCCCTACTTTATTTTTCCTCTTTGTCCAGTAAGTGCTCCAGGCAGCTACTGTTATATTGGGCTGTATTTCCATCTGAGTTTTCGGACACCAAGGTCACTCCTGACCGGCAGGGATAGGGACCTACTTATCAGTGCAAGGCCCATACACTGGTACACTTCTCTGTCTCAGTTGTCTGCGATCGGATCGAAGTCAGTTTTGGCAATCCGTGGACATGGCTAATCTGACCATGGAAGCGAGTGATTGAGAGCCTTGTACATGCATTGTTGCAGCTTTTATACAAACAGGATTTCTGCATCAGTGGTAATTGGATGTTCCAGGACAATTTTAAGCTCCGAAATCGGTGACGCAATGTCCAGAGAATGATTATCTGTCAGGTAGATTTAAAGAAGAACTCTGGGCAAAATTGATCTTAACCCTGCTACCCTCGTGCTGTAAGGGTTAAAGTCAAAAATGCTTTTCCCTCCCCCAATGTTAATGTCAGCAGTTACCTTAAATGATGTTTCTTAATCCGATCTTCTTTCTTGTCCATTTTCATCTGTCCCTTCAGCGCTGAGGCGGGTCTCCGATCCAGCGCTGACTCCTCTGAGCTTGCTGGTACTTCCTGCCCCACGGTGTCTGCATGCGGGTACACGCGTCCATAGACTTACCTTTTGTCTCTCCTCACGTCCCGGACGAAAATGTGATCTGCACCCCAAGATGCGTTGCGGCCGCCCGAGAATGTTCACATTCTCGGACGGGAGCGCGCAGGGAAGACACATGTATGTATCAACCCTTTTCAAACGGGTTTTTTTAAATACACTTTTTGCATATATCTACTGCTTGATAGCAGTAAATATATGCAAAAAAACTGAGGTTTTAATGATACTTTTAAGTGCACGTTTTTGTCTTGGAGCGAACATTACAAAATTATACTCACCCGAACCGCAAAGCCAACTGGCTGTTACAGCTCTCCCTGAAGCCTCTCTCTTCCTCCACCCCACCAATGGCATGTCCCTTGGCGTCCTCACATCCTATACATAGTGTATAGAACGTGATGACTCAAGGATCCTTAGACCGCGAGCGGGGCTTCAGGCACCGGCCTAAGAGCCGACCAGCTCCAAGGATTGGGCGAGTATAAATATTTTCACAACAAATGTAGCCACCCTCCAGAAGGAAGGACAGTGTCACTAGGAATTCAGAGGTTTGAGAATCTACAGCCGAGTGATACACAAATAAGTTACATTGTTGTTAATAATTAAGGTTCTTGAATGGATTTTTAAGATTTAACTCCTGAGTTTAGTGTCTCTTTAGGTTTGAATCTGATGCTTCTTTTGCCAGGAAGTTTGTGTGTGTATCCCCCTCCAGGTATTCAGTGTTTTGTGACAGAATGACGATTTAGTTAAACACTATTATACATGAAATATTGAGCAATTGTAACTAGCAAACAAAATCCAGCTGTACTGATCTAACATGTAAAAATTGAGCAGAATATGATTTTAATATTTCTCAATGAACAGAATTTCTCCTCCTCGGCCTTATTAATAACAATCTAACTTTGTACATTTTACAGGATGAAGAGAATGGGAATCGTGGAGGTGAGTTGACCCTTTTGACTTGTTTTTATGACAGTGGCTTGAGACATTTTCGTTGTCCCTGTTAGACCTTTCGAGTCTTGTGTGTTATGTCTCAGTACAATGTCCACTCGTGCGGCTCTTGCTGTCATTTAATACCAGATGTTGCTGGCTTGTCTGGCCATGAAAGACAGGAGGATTTATTGACTAGAGCACAGCTTGCAAAACTCCATTCAGCTAAGCCCGATCATACATGGGATTCAAAATAGATCTGACAAAGCGTCGTAACATTCCAAGTACAGAAGCAATTGGCAACTGCTGTTCAGAATAAAGTATGATTGAAAAATCACTTTGTGTGGTTGGTCGCTTTTGATGGCTTTTATTAATCCAAGCAACACGTCTTTATCAAGCACAATTGAATCTTACTGAACAATTGTTAAAGCTGCTAGATATAAAAAACAAAATACAGCTTTGTAATCATTTAGTACATCTATAAAGGAGAACTATGAGGTGAGTGAAGATCACTCAATGAAACTGTCACACGTCGGCTCAATAGATTGGGAACTAAGCGAACACATACCGCCGCTCGCTCACTTCTCGATCATCTCCCTGCAGAGAGCCGTGACTGTCAGTCACCACTCCCCGCAGGAATTCTCCCCTCTCCGATCCTCCAGCGCTTACTGGAGGAACGGAAGGGGAGGGGGCGGGCACAGCTGGCTCTGCCTCTATATAGGCAGAGGCAGCTGTCACTCAAGCAGCTGGGTGGATCTCGACAGTAATATCGGGATCCGGCTGTGGCGGTCTCAGTATACCACGAGCTGCAGCTCGCAATATACTGAGCTTTGGATCATGGGAGGACGCTAGTATATGTCCTCCCGTGACCCCTAAGCGAACTATGGGGGAAAAAACTTACCCCATAGTTCTCTTTTAAGGGCCCATTCACACATTGATCACCAGACTAGGTTGTTTCCGGACCCAAAATGCATCCTAATGTATCCCTATGCTATTTCTGGTCTCTGTTCACATCAGCGCAGTCCATTCCAGATCATACCAGAAAAATACTGCTTGTTTTATTTTGTCTGGAACGCACAGGAACGCGGCAAAATCGCGATGCACTGCGTTCCAGATCTGGTTTGGAAAATGGCGTGAACCCAGCCTAAGACCGCTGTTGTTACTGTAGTGATTTCTGTCAGTCGACGTCGCTCGCTCACTTCTCGATCATCTCCCTGCAGAGAGCCCTGTCAGTCACCACTCCCTGCAGGTATTCCCCCCTCCCCAATCCTCCAGCGCTGACTGGAGGAACAGACGGCGAGGGGGCGGGCACAGCTAGCTCTGCCTCTAGATAGGCAGAGCCTGCTGTCAATCACCCAGCTGGGTGGATCTTGACAGTAATGTCGGGATCCGTCCCAGCTTCGGTGCTCTCAGTATACCGCGAGCTGTAGCTCACGATATAGTGAGCTTTGGGTCACGGGAGGGCGCTAGTATATGTCCTCCTGTGACCCTGAGGAGAATTATGGGGAAAAACACTTACCCCATAGTTCTCTTTTAAATGTTATTAAAAAAAATTAAAGTAGCAGAATTTGACATGGTGCCAGCCTCTTACAACCTGGGCTGTAGGTTGTAAGAGGCAGAGCTCATACTGGAGAAAGGAGAAGCAGCACAAGACGCCAATCAGTTGTGCTGCATGCGAGTAACATGCTGATAGGAAGAGAGAACAGAGTCACTGAAAGACGAGCTCATCAGTCCACTCTGTATACAAATAAATTAAGGCAACTGGACTTGCTGTATTTTTCTTGATGTTTCACTGGTCATCCGACCAGCTTTCTCAATTTGGAGTTTCTGAACTGAGAAAGCTGGTTGGATAACCAGTGAAACATCTTCAAGAAAAATACAGCAGGTCCATTTGCCTTGATTTATTTGTTTACAGATCTACCATGACCTGGATGAATGAGAACCAGTCTGCTGCTTTTCCTTTTACAATCCAGATACAGGGTGAGGTAGTGTAGGTAAGTGTTACTGAACAGCAACGTAAAAAAAATATCCCCCAACCAGCAATGTTTGTGTAGTATAGCAGTGCTATGTAAATCTCAGGACTGGATGGATAGAAATACAAATCCTTTAGTAGGTAAAGCTGCCCCCTTTCATCCGTGTATTTAGCTATTTGCCTGAAGTTAAGCGTAAATGCAAGTTACTATTGTTTGCTTACTTATGACCATACATGTTATTCAAAGATACCAAAGCTTTATCAGATGTTACAAAGAAAGATCCTGTGTAGCGTCGGCCTACGTTGATATCTGTAACCGAATACCGCAGAGGCTTTGTCTGGTGCTTACAACCTAATCTCAGTGACCGCAATCTATGTAGGTTTGTTTGTACTCATTACTTTGACCAAAAAAGAGAAGGCTGCCCCGTAAGCACCTATTACATTTCAGGGTTGTATGAAATGATGCAGACCTAAATTCTACCTTTTTTCTATGTAAATATTTGATTGGGTTAGTATAAAGTATAATGAGCTGAGCCGCCTTAAGGACACGGTTCCTTAAACCATTTTACTGCATTAGGAACTACGTTGCTCATATTCACATCTGAACTCATGCCAGGAATGCCATACATTATATAGCACGCTGCATATAATTAGCCCTCCGGCTCGGAGCTTAGTTCTGTGAGAACGTGAGCCAGTCAGGGATGTGGTCGGTCACTCCCCGGATATTTTCTCTTTTTCAGACCATTCTCTACAAACCCTAGAGTTGGTTGTGCATGAAAATCCCAGTAGATCAGCAGTTTCTGAAATTCTGGCACCAGCCATGCCACGTTCAGTCACTTCAATCACCTTCCTTCCCTATTCTGATGCTCGATTTGAACTTCAGCAGATGGTCTTGACCATGCCTAAGGGCTAGTTCACACCACAAACAGGGTGTTCCAGCCCGATTCGTTGCCAGAACTCACTGGATCGCATCCCGGCTAGCTCACTGCGTTCTGGGGCTGGAGTGGGTGTGGCGGTTCGCACCGCAGCCATGCCCCCGGCTGCAGTGCGATCGGCCGCACCGGAATGCGTAGCACATCAATGCCTGTGTTCCGGTCCAGCATGCGCTATTTTTTCTGACCGCATTGGAACGGAGGCATTGATGTGCCACACGTTCTGGTGTGGCCGATTGCACTGCCGCCGGGGGTGTTTTGCTGCGGTGCCGTTGACTTCAATGCACCGCCAGGCCCCCTTCTGCCGCAGAGCGCAGTGAGCTTGCTGGGATACGATCCGGTACATTCCCGCACCGGAATTCACTATTTGTGGTAGGGATGCACCAATACCAGTATTTTGGTACCGAGTACGATTACTGATATTTTTTTTTTTGGTACTCGCCGATACTAAATACAGAGTACCAGAAGTCCCATTCAGGAAGCCAGGCGGCGTGTAATGACTCGCCACCTAGCTTCCTGATTAGCCGGGCAGCGTGTAAAGACTCGTCACCCGGCTTCCCGATTTAACAAGGAAGCCGTCCCATGCTTCTCGTCACCATGTGACGAGAAAGCATGGACCCGGCTTGCTGGCCAATCATGGAAGCCGGGTGCTGTGTAATGACGCGGCGCCCTGCTTCCTGATTGGCCAGCTTCCCGACCAATCAGGATGCCGGGCAGCGCGTCATTACACGCTGCCCGGGATCCTGATTGGCCGGGAAGTTGGCTTCATGCTCTCTCGTCACAATCTGAAAGCCGGGCAGTGTGTAATGACGCGATGCCCGGCTTCCTGATACAGGCAGTATCGGGCTAGGCATCGGAGCACTCGTACGCGCCTAAATACTCGGTATCGGCACAGATACCGATACTAGTATCGATATCAGTGCATCCCTAATTTGTGGTGTAAACTAGCCCTAAATGCATTGAGTTGCAGCCATGTCATTGGCTGATTAGATATTTGAGTTAACGAGCAGTTGAACAAGTGTACCTAATGAAGTGGCCGGTGATTGTATAGTGGCCACAATTTAATTTTAAAGCTTAGTCCTTTTGTAGGCTACACCTACTACTAGTCGTCATGATATAATAAATCTCACAGTGACCAGTGAAGCTTATGAATGTTTGTATTACAAATGATGTATTGTAACATGTAATGGTGAAATCTCTTCCTCGGCTGCCCTCTATCCTTCATATCAATAGATGTGCTTGGCTAAAGTGATTATGCAAACAGACCGATGGAGATGCTGTCAGCTCCTGTTTGTGTAGGATTTTTTCATAAAGAGGTTGGGGCTCTGGAATTCCTCATACACTGTCCGCCTTTTGTTCTTGCCTGTTCAGTTTTGGAGGTTATGTTTATTTAAGAAAAATCCCACTTAAAGGTCTGAAGGCATCTGCCACTACATTGGAATTTCTTGAAGTGCAACAGGGCCTGGCTGACATCATCTCCAAAGGGGCACAAATGACATAACTTCCATTATTGAGGAGGTTTTTTTCCTGGTAGCGGGGAACAATAGCACACTTGGGTCACTCGAGTGAGCATGAAAAGGGAGATGTATAGATAAACATGTGCCGCTGGCTGATCCTGGGCATCGATCATTATATCATGTATCCAAAGATATTTCTGTATTACATTGTAGCTCAATAATTAAAATAAAGGAAAACTCTGTGCACACCCATGCATGCAAAAGTAAACTAAAACTGATAAATGCTACACCACCAATCATAACTTGTATCATATTGAGATATTTTGTCTCCATTTATAGTCTGTGTTTTTGCAGTTATGGAAGAGTAAGGGTATGGGAATAGAGAGCATGATAGTCACATGACCATTTCATATCTTTTATTGGTTCTTGTTGGTCACAACACTATTTCCGGCTATTAACTGAGCTAAGTAATGTTTTAAGTGGCGGAAAAGTGTGGGGGCTTCTGGTTAAAGGACCTGATCTTACACACAGCATTCTTGATGAAAATCTGCCTATCTTTGGCCAACCTTTTGTGATGGACTGACTCACCAGACAGGTAGTTCTACATTATATAGTTAAAGGTTTGGGGACACCTGATATCCCGACTACTGT